TGAGTGGTTTACGGACAATCTGAGGTCGAGAAGAGAAAGGGATGCGGAGTTGTTGAATTTTTACAGGTTTTTACTTGTAAAATCGGTTTATCACGCTTTTCGAGTTAATGGCAAAGGCAAAATTTTGTACTACTTTTGTACTTTTGTAAAACATGACCTCAAAATTTATGTAAACATTTGAAATAACTAGTTTTTTTCCTTTAATTTTTCTAATGAAAGACCTAATGCTTTTATGCTCCAAACACACTGTAATTATACCCCGAACAGGGTTTATAACACCTAGAAAGAAATGTCCGAGACCTTATATACTACGTATTTATATATACATATACATAAATAAAATATAAATAATCAACATGACGAGCTGAGTCGGTTTAGCCATGTCCGTCTGTATGTAAGCGCGCTGGTCTTTCAGTTTTTAAGATATCGATATGAAATTTTGCACACGTCCTTTTCTTCGAAAGCAGCTGCTCATGTGTCGAGGCCGCCGACAGCGAAGCAATATAGCATATAGCTGCTATGCAAACTGAACGATCAAAATCATAACCTTGCATGGAAAGCTTTTTCATTTGACGAGATATCTTCAAGTCAATGGTGTAGTCTCCGAAGAAATTGTTCAAATCGAACCACTATATTTAGTGCAACCGAAGTTAACATTTTTTCTTGTTTTACTTTATTTTTACTTAATATCGAAAGAGCACAGTAGCTCTCAATCGAAAATTCTCACGTCAAAATATCATTCATTTTAATTTTTTATCTTCCATTTTCAAAGGAAGCCAATTCGCAATCCACTTGATCAATCCATTAACACACTTTTTACAAATTTTTGCTGAGCAAATACGCTTAGTCAATTGCAGCTGCAATCAATGAGTCTTCCCTACAGGGCATTTACAATGCACCCAAATCCTTAAATTCGCAGAAGACGCGTCACAGCGAAATACGAATGAAGCAACTCTATGCGATTGCGCTGATATCATTTGCACTCAGCTTACCGCTTAAGGTGCGCTAGGGTCAGAGAATGTAACAGAGTGTCTGTGAGCGTGTATGATTTACGGACGAACTATGTATGTATGTGTTTGTGTGGCTGAATAAGATGCGCGATTTTTCGCATAATTATTACGTGCTCGATGTATAAGTGGTTGTTGCAGTTGTTGCGGCATCGCTGTCATTAATATTACATAACCTATGCGATAACTTGCATTTAAAGGCGTATGTATGAGTGCATATGACAAACACACACTCATCTGCACTCATATATAAGTGTGTAAACAAAGTGTATTTCGAAAATGTGATGCAAATTGATTGCAACCAATTCACCAGACAATACTTAATTAATATACATACGTACAAATAAATTAAGACACTTATGCCAACATGCTTGCACACACACACACAGACGCACGAATATACACACACAATTGTACAACTTCATGCGATGTGCGAAGCACACCTTTCACTTTGCACTTTAATTCTCATTTATTATAAACAGAGAAAGCGCTTTTTAAAACAGTTACGCACACACATAAACATTCTTACCGCTCATCACCCGTAAAAGTAGTTAATGAAAAATTTACACAATTCAATGCGATAAATCCTCGCTCGCTTGATCGATACGAACGCTCTCTTATTCACATGCGCCGTACAACGAAACCGTTATCGCTTGCAAATGTGAAAATGCTCCACCACTGTCAGTGCGCTTGCGTGTGTGTGTGTGTGTGTGCGGCTTATGGATTCGTGGCAAATTGAATCCTCACTCAATCACTTCACTTAACGCAGCAGTAAATTATCGGTCGGCGATGTTTGTGAAATTTTTAAGAGATTTCCCGGAAATCATTGCAATCAGTGCGCATTGAAAATGTTTTTGAGGTAGCCATGTGTTTTACAGTTGTTAACATAATAATAATAATGTACCGTATTAACGCATTACGTTTCACATAATTTATTGCATTTCGCGGTAAGGAATTGCTCAATAATGCTATATTTAACTGTGCGCAATAAAAGAACGTGACCACGACCATTGCGGGTAGCATAGTATGAGTTGGTATACAATATTTACAGCACGCTGAAAAGAAATTAGAATAAATACAGGGTGTGTCATACTCTATGTCATAGCAATTTCTTTTGCTCCATTTTTCATAATTTTTCGACCATCTCGCGTTAAATAAAAAAGTTTTCCATACTAGCACGTGACTCCGATCGTGCAGTTTGTATGGCAGTTTGTATGGCAGCTATATGCTATAGTTGTCCGATATCAACGGTTCAAACAAATGAGCTGCTTATTTTAGAGAAAAGGACGTGTGCTAAACCTCTGATCGATATCTTAAAAACTGAGAGACTAGTTCGCGTATATACAGATAGACGGACAGGTTGGCTGTTATCTTTCAAGATCCATTAACTAAGAACACGGCCTGATATTTTTACAACTTTTTATTTCTGGCTCGGTCGCACATATTTATCCTCGCTTCGAATGAAGATTGTTGCTTTGTTACTAATACTTTAAGAACTGCCTTCGGAACTGATTACTAGCTTGCTCTTTTCACTTACTGCATCTATTCATTGTTAATTTAATAACGACGCTCTTGAGAGCACTATGACATACTATACACCTTAGACCATAAAATAACCAGCAATTTGGAAATTTCACTTTCCCTAACTCCTTTTGAGTGATACTGCACAGCTATCAAGTAATTAATGTGCTACAATAAATTGAATATAAATTTGCACTCAGTCTAACGAACGGAAGTTCGCTCAACAAACACGATGTATATATGTGATGGCGACGACGACGACAATGGCAGCGGCAATGACGGCAGCATCCAGAATATGTGTGAGTCGGAAGTGCAACTGCCGAGCAGCTATGACTGCTGCAAGGCCGACATTGCATGCGGCACACTTTCGGTGACGGAATACAGGCGCCGCACGCGGAAAGACGGATGTGCGCACGTGTTACAACAACAAAATACGACAGTAAACAAAGCAACTGCCAGACCAAAGCTGCAATCAATTGAGCCAAGTTCAACTGAATTGACTAGAGATGGAATGGATGAATGGGAAGTGCGGGTAATGGCATTGAAGTTCAAAGCAAGTGGCTGACACCGATGCAACTGGTGGCGTGTGAGTGTGCCATTTTTCATAAACGCATATATGCAAATGTGCTGTTAATTATATATGTATGTATGTGTGTGTTAAAGGAGGAGTGTGGCTTATTGCCACATTGTTTTGTATTACAATGACGTTGCAATGTGGAAAGTATATGACTGCGGCATGTGCTCGCCGAGTGTGACTTTGACAGCAAATTGCATTTATTAATGGCTTCGAGTGGTAATTTTGTGTGTTAATTGAGTACTATGTGTTGACTGTTAATGGCGAAGGATGTAGGATGCTGAAATGGTTGGCAGTTGAAGAGGAGATGCAGCTCTCAATTACCTTTGTTTCGTAATATTTCACAGCACAATTTAATTTAGATGGCAGATTTTAGGCTGCGGAGTAATGGCAGTTAGTTAGTCAAAAAATAAGATATTTAACTAATTATATTTAAAGCCTAATAAGTATATATAAATATAGTTAGATTAACTACAATGGCGAGTTCTCTCACGCACACATTAAAAATTACATTAACATAACTAGTTTAGAACGGCTCAACCTTATGATCCAATGAATAGAACCAGAAGAGAAGAAAGTGGTTTTACTTTTTCATTTATTTAATTTCCTTTGTGTGAATAAAATGATCCAAAAAGTAATTTTAACAGCATGAAGTTTTTATATTTGGAACATAAATTTAGCAACTAAAAAAATAGTATTAGAAAGAATTTTCCTGAAATTAACTTCAAAGACGGAATGTTTTATAAAAGGATATTTGCTATATTTAGTTCATATCCGGATATCACATTAATTGCATAAAAATACATATTCGGACTATATATGCATATGTACATATGTACGTCCTGTAGATGACGCTGGAGTCGACTATTTCTATTTGACATATATTTGCAGATCATGTTAACTACAAATTTATTTTATACAATAATATAAAGATGACTGATGCGTCATTTTCGTCATGTCTAATTTCGTGACACTAAATTGACAGAAATAAAAAATTTACTTCAAGCAAAAAAAAAAAAAAAAATTTTAAATGGTGAATTTTGCTCGAAAAATTTCGTCAAGAGTTGCTACAAAATTGAAACGGTTGATCATTCTCATTTGCTTGACTATAGCTGTCATTAAATTTGACGTAGTGTAAAGAAAGACCATCTATGCTCAAAAATCTTTCGGAAATATTTAAAGTAAATTTTGTATCTGTGGGAGTAAACATATGGCACTATTTTCATTGACCATTAAAAACTGTGTTCAGGCATATATCTGCACCAAACTCTTTCACTTTTTTATGGAACAAACATTACTGTACTTGGTAAAAACACATACATTTTCTGATTTCACTCTTAATTGTGTTAGTGCTGCACCCACTCATGGAAATTTAGAATTTTTTTAATGCAGTTATTTATACTAGCTCGTTTTTTTTCTAGGGGAGCGATGCACATCGAGGAGTCTTTCGTTACTTTATCAAACCATTGCATAAAGACCCTACTCTAAATGGAAAAAAATTTAAATGTTTCTACCACGTTTTAAATTAAATATTCCAAATCCAAGTTATATTAAAATTATTTGGCTTATATCGAAAATTTGTATTAAATAAATTTTACCAGCAAAACAAAAATAACTAAAATCCGATTAAAAAGAATTAAAAATTATTTTGCTTGAATAATAGACGTAACATTGTTACAGTCAAAAGCAAATGGATCTAAATATGTACGCAAATTCATTATTTATTATTAAATAAAGTGCTCCTATAAAAAAAAAAAAAAACCTTTACTAAATTTATTTATTTATTAAATTTTTATTTCGAAAAACTAATTTCAATATCAAATTTGTCGCAATTAATTAGTATATAGTATATTATTTCCTCCATTAGCTCTTAAAATATTAATTTTTTTGATTTTCAGAGTAATCGGACAGTTCGTTATTTGATTTGCTTCCCCACATCTTTTGCTCCTACGTACTCTGGCGTAAAAATCAAACCAATATGGAAGGAGATCAATTAATGTCATGAAAGTTTTGACGAATATAATAATACATCACTAAAAGTACATTCGAAAGAACAAATAATCGCATGCGATCGGTAAATAAAAATAACATGAAATAGAGCGACTTCTAGAATCTATGATAGCATAATATATTGTTGGTGCTCACAATTACTCTATTACTTGTTGTACAGCAACTACACTAAACGAAGGAGCGAAAGAAATTAATATCAGCGCCAGTACTCAGTTGACAAATAAATTTGCAGTGCTTCGGTTTTCGTGGGCAAAACGTGAATTAATTTATATTTAATATTTGAGCGTATATCGATGGTGTAGTAAATAAAATAAGTGCATAATAGTAAAATATTAAAAGTGAAGAAATGTTGTAAAAGTGAAGAGAAATGTTGTGCTGAGAAATCAAAGCAAATAATATTATTTAATGCTGTAAATAAATAATGTCCACGTCATTGCTTTCTTGGCGTGTCACGTTCGTGTTTCGTTTTCGGTCGGTTTGAATATTGCTCGATAATTTGCATACATACATACATATGTATATGTACCAATTCTAGCATAAAAATGCATTTGTAAATTGTCGTTTAATTAAAATTAAAATTATGTGTGAAATAATAATATTTTTTTTTATCAATAAATCAACTGTTAAGTTTTTATAGTGAAAAGTTTATTTAAAAATAGAAACGTATCTATTAATCAATAATTTATTTTACTACTTTTGGAATTTTCTCTTTGCAAAGTTGCAAACAATTCATAAGGGTGAGTGTTTTATCTTGAAACATTAATTTCAAAAAGTGCATAAGTTTATTATGTAAATATTTGATTGTTACTACACACACATTTAATAAATTATAAATTTTAATTATACATTTTTATCTTTCACATTGTGAACACAATTTTCAGATAATTTATTAACAGAGTATTTTTTAGAGGCATGTAATTCAATTTTTAATAATGAAACGGCAGATTTTTTTTCAAATAAAAGTTCGCAAATTTTGTGCATATCACTCAATGTTTTAATACAATTTCGTTTCAAAAAATTTACTGCGACTGCGGCTTTTGAAGACCGGTCTGTCAGACTTTGCACCGGTTTTTTTTTTAGCATATTTAGCACTATCTCTATCTAACGACGCGCTAAATTTTGGTTTCCAATTGGTCTGTATAGATAATTTCTTTTTGATATATAGCCCATTGACCTTACCCAGCGCCACAAAAAATAATTCATGGGACTCAAATCGCATGACCGAAGTGGTTATTTCTAAATTTTATTAAATCTCTAAAAGTTAGTTCCAATAAAGAGATGATTTCACTTACTTCTGCTGAAACAATTGAACACTTAGACCATCTATATTAATGTAGGCAAATCAAGCAGTAAAAGCAAACCACAAAAGACAATGTGCTGATGGGAGCTTTTGCGAAATACACGATACCCAAATGTCAAACACATGTGTTTAGTATGAGAGATGCCCCTCTTAACAACACCCTTTATTTCTTTTGTTAATAGTACTCGCAGGGTATTTTGCGTAACTTAGCATTTAATATTTTCTGTCGGTACATATAACAGGAATATCCTTAAGAATCATACTAAGATAATCGTAGGGAATATATTTTCGAGAGATTTTTCTAGAGCCGCAAATCATGTGACATTGAATCTCTAAAGTAGTCACATTACCTCGTATATAAGTATGTATATTAATATATTAGTATAATAGTTTTTCCGTGGGAAAATTTTCTTCGAATGTACTTTCCGATCTTTAGTATTTCCATTCTACCAGTTAGACTACCTCTTCTATCGTCATCGAGACTATCTGAATAACGCAGATATCTGAAAAATATTACCTTAAAAATGAGAATTGTTCCTAAATGTTCGGTATCCTATAGCTCTACAGCGGTTGCCTACATTTAGGCGCGCAATTGAAATCCTACTTCGATGCATACACAATTCAGGGCAAGGCGGACGACCCAAACATTTCGCTTTTGACGCAAATAATCGTATAACGGAATCAGTTTACACCTTCACTAAACTCCGAGTGAATTTTCGGTCGAACCAAATTCAATTGAAGCGCCGTCTCATTGCTGAACGCGATACAGCTGCCGCTCATGTGGCAATATTAACGAAATGCCAAAGTGCCAAGCACAATTCAATTTAATCCGCAGACCTGTTCGAAACTGTAGACACCACAGCAAATACAAGTACGCTCATGGAGTATGTGACATACCTACTTATATGTATTTAACAGACATTCAATTTTGAGTATAAGTATGAGCATGTATAAGTACGTGGACACATACGAGGTATACATGTATTTATATGAAATAGGTATACAGCTCTCTCATTAGTTGTGTGTGACCTGATTTTTATCGGATTAGAGATCGAGCCAGGGTTCTTCGTAGTAGTTGTTACTTGTGTGACAACATTCCCCAAATATTTGACCTCAAATTGGTTCAAAGTAACCCAGTACTACTCCGTACTTGTCAGGAAGTCGAAAGTTTAAGATTAAGCGAACACTACACACTATTCTTCACTCCTCTACTGGTTTAGAACTACTAGACTCTAGAAGAGAAAGTGCGAAAATTGATATAAAACGGAGGTATTGCACAGTTTTATATAATAGATAAACGAAGGCGTCGACTAAAGGTACCTCCAGGGAAGAGTCAAAAGAGCGATGCAAGATTTACATTCACATTGATTTATGATATCAATATTTGCAAAATTCAATTAAATGAGTATTTCAATCTTATATGTGTTCAGAGAGCGCATTCTAGTGCGACATACGTGAACTCCTACACTTCGTTTATACTTTCTCATACCGGAATCGATAACAAAATCATTGCTTTTTCACAATTGATAAACTTTAAGAATATATCTAACAATTGAAGGATATAAGGATCACAAAACTTAGAATTTACCATAACCGAAGAACCATCAGTATATGTTGAGAATCACCATTTCAGTCGCCCTGTGTAGTATTCTACTCCTATTAGTATTTACTCGAATATTTCTAGCACTTCCACTACGCTTATATACCAGCGAGATGAAAGTCACTACTAATATTAGATAAACTGATTTCCTACAGGGTTGCTTGCCTATACACAATTGCTCAAATAGGCCACATCCAACGGTATTTCATGTAACCATTTGTGTGTATGTACATTTCGAACAACTCCACAGTCAAAATAACTGTCAGAACAGTAGTAAAGCAGCCTTAGCCGAAACCTTTAACAGCCACTAGTAGTCAATGTCAGAGATCGATAGCCCTTGCATGAGCACACACACAAACGTACCGTTATGTGTATGGCTACACGTACGTGTACACTCGTATAAACATGGTTGTTATGCGGCAGGAAATCGCTCTTCGCAATTGAGTGACTTTTAGCGTTGTTGGCATTGATTGAAATTCGATATTGCGAAGGCGTGTGCTTATGTCGGCATAATTTTGTATGAGCGTATAAGTTGCAGGCAGGCAGGCAGAATGCTAGCAAGTTTGTTATGCCTAAAGCAAATTACTACGGAGTACTATAAAGTAAATGTGCTCGTATCCACAAGTGAATTTGTAAGTGTCACGGTATATGACTATATTGTAAATGTCGTTTATATATAATATGTGTGTGTTTTTATGCGTATGACCAGCCATAAAACGTAGGCGGATGAAAATCAATGCGCCATTCTATAAATTGTTATAACGCATAAAAATACGATGACAACACTTAATTTCGCAGAAACTCACTTGAAATCTTTTATATTTTCTTTTTTTTTTTGCGCATAATAAATATTGTACAAATAGGTACAAAAGAAAATTAGCAAAACTAATGTTTGCAACAAATTATTTAATATTGGAAATTTAAGTAATTTTTTTAGCTAAATTTACAATTTTACAGCATACGTAGTGAAATGGGAGGGTTTAGAATGAAGAAACATAACGTTTAAGGGGCTATATCCATTTGCAAGTAAAAACAATGCGTTTTTTGTGAATTTTTTTGAAATTTAATAAATAAATAAAAACAATGTACATTTACAGAATTTTATGTAATTCAATAGTCGGTCATTAATTTTGTAAAACTTTGTATTCCCATGATTCCGTAATCTCCTGAAGAACCTCCGTAAAATGATATCAGGCGGTGAGGAAGATGTTTCTGCTTAAATTTGTATCAAAACGCAAAATCATAAAACTTTTGGATTACCTGTACGATGGCTACAGGTATTGATCGCAGAACTAGTCAAAATTTCACAAAATGGTGGCTTCTCAAAAAAATCGTTTTTTTGCAAAGTATATATTTCAGAGTGGGTTAAAAATTCGAAATTAAGATCTAAAATCTTATTTCTACGATTATTATCTGTCAAATATATCTATAAAGGTCGCATAAAAATTTCATGTCGTTCGGTGTAAATGTTTCCTCACCGACTCTAAAAAACGCGTTTCGAAAAACCGCGTGTAAAGTTTTGCAAGCCGATTACGCTAAGTTCAGAACTTCTTCTAATATTTATATCCTCATATCTCCAAAAACTATTTGTCGCATCAATTTTAGATTTTGCAGAATGTTCTTAAATACTATATGTACATTCGATACATTATAAAAAAATATAATTTTTTGAAATTCACCCTTAAGTGAGGCAGAGCTCTCCAAAAAAACTTACAGATCTATTTGAGTATACAAAAAGATTTTTATTCACAAAATGGCAGCTACAGGGCCAAACTTCTGAATATTTATTATCAGTTGAAAATAATTTCTTTTAAATACTCTACACATATTATTTCTTGGACCCTAAAGCAAACCTTAAGTCCAAAAATTTTTTTTTATTAATATCAGGTCTATAAAACGAAATCCTTTATTTTTGAATTTGATTGAATTTAATATTTATTTTATATAGTTGAAATTATCTGATTTATGTGAAGTATACACTGGGACAGTATATTTTCATTAGTTTCTCTTAAAACGAATTTTTCACTAACAAAATTATTCGTCGTAGGCAGAAAGAGGTAGTAATCACTTCATGCCAAGTTCCGGAGCTTCTGGCGGGTGCCTATTATCATTGTGTGTGTGGATAAAATAGAGTTATTGGTAGATACAAATAGTTGAATAACAACTCGAGGGATTGCTGAAAGAATAAATTTGTCTCATTTCATTAAAAAAAAACGAAATTACTTAGTCAACGATTCAATAAATACCTCAAGCAGGTTTTTTTGAAATGTTTAGTTTGTGGGCAATCGACATGGTGCTTACTTGATGATTAAGCTCGATGATTTCCATTATTTTACCGATATGTTCGACAGTTAATGTTCCAGAGCGTGGTGCTTGTTTGACAACAAAATTTTCAAAAAAAAATTGACGAAATCAATGCGCAAGATACAGATCACTAAAACTTCTAAGCGAAAAATAATGGATTTTTTCTTACTAGACTAAATACACACTCATAACTGCTTACAAGAATTTCACTTGGAGGACACCTGCTTAAACAACCCCTACAGTCAATTGCAAATTACACCTTAACCAATAAGTTAAATAGGATGTAATTTTCAGGCCGTCAGACTTATGAATTGTTTATACATAAATAAGAAAATTTATTTCACGCGGCTTCAAATGTAAAATGAAGTAATGTGTCTATCGTTTATTATATGTTTCCCACATTATCGATTAAATGGTTATAAGCGGCGACCACGCCCTATTTAGCGGCGTGCCGATTATGCAAAGTATTTCTCAAATTATTTGAACGGAATTTTTTGTATTATTTTACGAGTACCCTGAAAAAAATGAGGCAA